ACGCGTGACGCGGCGGGCGACGCGTGCACAACGCAAGCGCTCACTCGGACTACTGAAGAGAAATATTACCCCGGGCGAGGGGTTTTAGCCCGGCCGGCGCGGCGTGATTACGTTCCGTTCCAACATTTTGCTATTGATTGTAGCTTTTTTGTTCGGCCAAAATATAATTCCCGTACCAGTTTCGAATAAACTTCGATTAATCGTTAAAGATCTTAAGATTGATATGAACAAAAACATCATACCAACTCACCACATTTTACGAATTGTCTACCTATAACTAACTATTTGAAATTCCCGCTAAAATAACAAGGAATCCCATCCTAATCAACGAACAAGGAAAGCAAACTATAGTTACAAGCAGAAATGTGGTGCAGGAAATCTGTAACTTCCTAAGGACTATAATTTGAATGTTTTGAATTAAACTATGATGAGACTATATCGACACGTGGCGCCATCTTGTCACTCCTATCACATTTTATAGAAGAAAAGCAGTGCGAGTTTCAATCTTTCAATTTATATACCCCTCTCATTGCATGAATGTAACGACCAGCGTTACTGGAACTTTACTCTGGATATAACTGTTGTACCTTCTGTGATTTCTGCGTGTCAATAATCATTGATTTATGTAATAGAATGGGGTTGCAATTTACGTTCAACAAATTAGAAAGGGAAGAAACATTCGAAGTTCGGACGTTACTTTTATTGATATTTCACTGGGCGATAATGAAGGGCTGTGAGGGTTCAAATGTATCGAAGTGCCGTTAAATTTTAAAGCCTATACTTTTTTTTCAATTAGTCCGTTGAATTACTTCCAAAGTATTATCTAATAGAGTTTCCTTTTTTGTTACATTTTAGCAAGTTCTTATGGGGGCCTGACGTGCAAGAATACTAACAAGGAAAAGTTAATATAGTAATATTTATCTGAAAAACAATTTAAGTCAAAAACAAACTTTTTACGACAAGAACTTGTAAATTTAATCATTAACTCAAATGAGGAATTATCTCTTTAACAAGATAAGCGAAGCGAATCTACCTAGGTTAAACGAAATGTTTACAGTTATTACTTTATTAGTATTTTGTATATTGATTAAATAAAAAGAAATGTTTAAAATGCAGTCGTAAAATATACAAACAGTGACACCTAGCGGTTGTATTGCGACATGAAAACGGTTGCGTTCAAAGAATAATTTTTATGAAAACGGTTCGTTGGTTCGCCGAAAGATGTCGCTAAATGTTGATGCAGAGCTGAAAGATTAATTTTACAAGTTAAATAAGAAGTAAGACAAAGAGTAATAAATAAATAATTTATTCTTCGATTAAGTTTGAAACAAAAACTTTTCCTAATTTTTTCAAACTAAGTTTATTTCGTCTGCTCACCACAGTCAGTGAAACTTCAAAATCATTGGTCCTTCGTATATTATATTATATATACATATATGAAAGCAGACGTATATACATATATTATGTATAGTAAAACTAAAAGAACAACAACTTTATTGTTGTAGATTAACAAAAATCTAGACCACATTAAATTTTTTGCGATACAAGCTTCTGTATTATATTTATAGAAGCTTTGTCGTGAATGCGAAGCAGTTATTATATGGATCAGGCTGAGATGATTCTCGGCACCAGTAAAAGAGATGCTGGCCTGCCGCGGATGGGTAAAATCAGACTTGAAACAGTTTTCAGACTAAATAAGATTAAAGCGAGGTGTATCCCCAAATATTATCAGTGCATATGGTTAACGAAGCATACGTATAGTAGACGTTAGCAGCATGTCAATAATTTGACATTGCTTTTTGTTAAGACAAGTCTGGCGACAGGTGATCATATAGGTCATTACACCCTAGTATCGACTTCATAAAGTTGTGGTCAGCGCCGTCTTTTCATAGTTTCTTTCGTGAATATTTTTTTAATTTGCATTTTTTTCGATACATACTACGATAGACTACTCGGCACTACTTCGACGGCTTCGACCACTGTGGTAGGGTCACGTGGTATTTTCGGCTGTTGCACGAATGGGCAGGCTCGTTTGGGGAAGTACCACGTCCTCACAGATCATCGTGAAGTGCAAGCATTATACTTTTGCGCCTCGCAATAAATGGGTGATTGAGCTAACTTTTTTCTTAAGGTCGAAGTCACGTCTACAACTCCTCGGGTCTTGTAGATGCCCATGGGCGGCGGTAATCACTTAATACCAAGCGAATCGATCGGCCTTTCGTTTGCCAATTTTTAACATGAAAAAAGGCAATACAATAATATTTGCCAGCGGTAATGCAATTTTGATATGTGGTTTTTTTATGTCCTGATTATTATTATTATATTATATCATTAATTACCTTTTAGAGTATGAAAAGAACCCACGACATGACTGTCTCCATGGGCTCAGAGTTTAAGATGCTGTATGTATTGTTTACCACAAGGTAAGAAACTTCATCATAAACCCTTATCCTAGGTAGAGTCGGAACGACATGTGAATCATGTTGTAAGTGGTTTTTGCCTTTTTTTACGACCGGCCGCCTGTCTGTCGTCACAAGTATTTTGTTTCCCAAGGACCCAAATACTTGTTCCGTGTGGGACTCGAACCCACGACTCCGACGCTGAAACCAAAAGCTTAACAACGGCGCCACAGACTCATCAAGGTAAGAAACTTAATATTAAAATGCAGTCTGAGTTCACGAGTTCGATACCCAGTAACGTGCACTGAGAGAATCGCGTTTTTGGGTTTCGTTCGTGTGAAAATCGGCGCCAATCAAACATCACATTTGAATTTTCGCATTTGTATCCGACATCAGCACCTATCAAATTTAGTGGAGTAACATGTACCTTACTTGGAAATAAACAAACAGATCCAGATAGTTGTGAGTCACACAAATACTCATAAGTACTTGTCGCATGTGGGAATCGAACCCATGACGCCCGGCGCCGAAGCGCATATCTTAGCAACTGAATCGTGATAATTCTACCTCTAATAGATAATTCTATTTTGGTAAATACGTTACACGCACTTGAAGCAAGTGGTTTGTCCGGTCATTAATTTTTCGTACTGCAAAGGAATCGAATAACTCACCAGCACCGTCCACTGTTTCCTCCGTACCGTCAATAGTGAAATCTTATACGGTCAACATCTTTCAAAACAAATAATATTTTATCCGAAATCAATCCGTTTAATAAAACACATTAAATTCGATTACATTTTATTACAAGTATAAAAGGTTTATATATTTCTTATACAGATAACACTAAACACTATTCCTTACATGCTATATTTGTGTACAGGCATTACTTATACAAAATATACATCATTACTTATTAAAACTGACTGGTACATTGGCCTCTATACTAACTTCGCTAACGTGGCCTTTGCTTCCACCGGGAGCTATAAGTGATAGAAGAGATAATTCGGCGGTCTCTTATTATAAAATATAACGTGTTTTAAAATCGCTTTCCGAACACATTTTTTTGAAGACTTTAATTTGAAAATGGAAAACTTTCAATATAACTATGGAACCATTCTAATTTAATAACGACACCTTGATAAACCTGTTAATAGAATTGTCTCAAACTCCATGAATTACATTCCTGTATATTAAAACATAATTATGCAAGATATAATTTTTTCACGTAGTTAAAATCTAAGTAAGACTAAATAAAGCTTAGTTGGAAGGGTCAACTTAAAGTGTAGAACGGAGAAGTTGAGGTAGTTTTATTCGAGTACCGATACGATTTTTGAAATAACTTTGTATTTAAGAAGATAGTGAAATGGTCAGTCTTTATCCAGAAACAAAAAGGGATCAAGATCTTAAATAAAATTGGGCGAATAAATGGAATCTCGTTATGTACAATCTATGAAATTAATATCGAATACCTCATACAAGATGCGATGTTTACACAATCAGGTACATCATTTGTAACTAAGATTATGTGAAATAATACATCTTATAATTATTTGTAGCTTGGTATAGCTCGCAGTGGAAATAGAAAAAAACTACTATATGATACTTAGGTCATATTATTTAGGTGTTTTAGTAATTACAGTGTTGTTCTTAATTTGTTGCAAAATTCGAGCATTGCCTTTTATTGATTCAATAAAAGTATTAACAAATTTTATTGTTGATATTTTTAACTATAACAATTAAACCAGAGGATTTAACATTTTGATCACAAGATTGATACAAAATGCTTCTAAAAATGATTGTAATGTGATTATCCATATTACAACCACAATTAAATTAGGCTGGAATATCATATAATTATGTGTAATGTACCGATTACATATAAATATATCCGACTTAAATGAGGACAATATTATTGGTGGCAATAATGGAAATTTTACGCATTTAATAGCTTTGTTTGTACAAGTGTTTTAATTTTTAATACAAGTTCTATCTATTTGTTCAATTCATTTGGGTTTGAATCAATCAATGAACGTTCTTGAAAAACGATTTTATATTTTATAAACTGTCTTATAGTAGTTTTAGCGTATTTTGCGCTGGTACCGCTCTCGTCGTAAATTGACCAGGTAGCTATGACGTGCATCTCTTTATCTGATCTACGTGTGAATAGTAGACAAACAGGCACGTCGAATGGTTATAATTATGGTAACTTTCTTCTTCGAAAGAAATTTAATTGCTTTGTACACTGAAATAGTAAGTTTCCCGCTCCTCTGGTCAATACGTAATATATCTTTTAATCTTCGAAACGATATTGTTTATCTGTTGTTTGTGTCATTTCTCTAAAATTCTCAATTTTTGCTTACATCCGAATCGTTTTGTGTGTATTGTGATAGGTATCTTAATTAAATATAGCCTTAATGGAGTTTTTAAATCGGTTCGTATAGCACCGAGTCAACGTTAAACAGCCTCTTATACCTGGCATTAGCTTAATACTTTACGAAACGCTCACGATACGTTCGTGTGCCGTTGTGTCTTGTGCTGTTGTGACTTGAATTATTCCGGATCACTGGGTTTACGTCACCAATGGACCGAACTGTTATTTTATTGCACTTTTTCTTTTTCAGTCACATTTGAATTTGGAACGTGGCCGTTCGCGTGGCCGTTTGCGTGGCCCTTCCTAAGGTGGGCGTTCGCTTCGTGGTAGACAGTGTCATCGTTCGGCGGCGCGTGTAGATTTGCCTTGGTCAATCTGTGCGGCATTCCGTTAGCTACATGATCATTGGCCATGTGGCCATTTGAAACGTGGCCATTGGACACGTGGCCATTGGACACGTGGCCATTGGACACGTGGCCATTGGACATGTGTCCATTAGCCAAGTGGCCATTGCAGGTCGTAATGTGGCCGTTGGCCATTGCTTTCACCTCGCCATTGGACGCGCTCTCGCCACGGTTGTTGTTGTTGACCGCCGCTGGCTTTGCGCCGTCCTTCTTGTACGCTTGGATGTAGAAGTTCGTGAAGAGGACTATGAAGATCATGGAGTGAAGTATCAAGCCCGAAGCGATGAGCCTTGAAGGGGAACAAATAATTTGTAGAGGAATCAAATTAAAAAGGTTTATTTTTAAAGATTGTTAACGCATCTCATTGCCGTCAGGTGTTCTAGATGTAAAATTAGATGAACTGCCTGCTTGCTTGACAACTCTTCACTTAAGAAAAATATATGAATAAATAAATATTTCAGGACACATTTTACGCAGCATTATCTAGTCCGAAACTAAGAAGACTTGTAATTCAGGTACTGGTTTCTTAAACATAAAATTATTTTTTTTAAATAAACAGACATTATAGGTATAACCTGGAAAACGTCCAGATATTGGAAAAACACTATGTTCACAGTTTTTCCAGTATACGGGATTGAACCCACAACGTCTATCGTAAAGGACAGTTTAACTACTCACTACTATCCGTTTGCGACTCTGTACAATCGAGCCCCTACATAAAATCGCAAGATATTGTACGCAGAAGAAATCAGAAAACCATGTAACTGATGGGTAGCTGAGATTTCATACCTACATCTTAAATCGAAAGTCGAAAGAAACTGCCTGACGTCAACCCTTATTGGGAAACAAACACCCAGATCCGAAACAATTATACACGAAGACGTGTGGGAATCGAACCCACGACCCCCAACGGCGAAGCCAATAGCAAGCATTAGCATCGGTGCCACCGAGCTATTAATAGAAATTGTATCTCTAAATAATAACATAAACCAGTAAAGATCTCAGATGAAATTTCATCTCTTACTTTGGATATCCACAGTCGTACACGACGGCACTGATGGAATGGAAGAGGACCATGAAGAATTGTATCTGCAACAACAAGTAATGAATTTAAGTACATAGCATCTAAAGTATAAGTATTACCTAGATTGATTGTTTTAGTCGATATCCTGGACTGGCCAAGTGTGAATTTCGCCTCAATCGTCTAAGACTGTATTGACGTACACCATATATTTTTTTCATTTCACATTATTTTAAATGGCAGCACTGTTTGCCTTTTTCATTTTTAGTGATTGCTTTTTCGTTAACGTTCAATAAACATTTAATATTACCAAAATTAGTAATGATCATGTCAACCCAGGCCACATATTTGTACATGAAGTATATGTAAAAAATTGTTTCTTTGAAACACTACAAATTGAGGCAATCTTAAATACCATCATGAAAGTGTAAACCTTAATCGGTTCGTAAGATTTCACTTCCTCCCAAAGACGTTTATCATTTCCTGTCAACTCGAAATAAAGGTTTAAAGCGACAATTACTGCCAATCGGTCGGGCTAAAATGTCAATCGATAATGTAAATGGAGTGGAATTTGGGGTAGTCAAGTGCAATTCGGTCAACACGCATCTGGTTAAAGCCTTAGACCAGTTCTGGCTTATCTAGTTTTAATTCAGCCACTCGGCTCTTACTAAGCTCGGTTGCGAAACATCGCAACGGCTTTAGCCTCCGAGTGGAAGTAAGCGAGTGCAATGTACGCGTCAATGCCAATTTCCTCCATTTGCCATTAGCTGAAATGAACAACTCACATTTAAAATACCGTGTACTAGAATAATGATTTCTTTTATTAACGCTGACCAAATACATGGTTACGTTTACATGGTGAGTTTTTGTTTTTGTAACTTACACTCACAAAACTCCACTCCAACCAGCGAGTGTTGTCCTAGAAACTTAACCAAGACAATATAAAAAAAATCGTCTGTGTACTTAGAAAACGTGTATGTCAAAAAATAACTAAATATTTTATCCTAATAAGACATTAAATGCAATCGATAACGTTTATAACTTGGAATTATAGGTAAAAGTTAAAAAGATTTTATCGGTCACCAAGGTAATAACTTGAAGTTCAAGCACCTACCAACTTCATCATGTCGCTTTTTGGAAGTCGATGTGGGCGCGCACCGTAAAAAAATTCTTTCATATCATTATAAAATATGAAATAAAACCGTTTAAAAACTTTTAAGTTAAACGGTTTTATTTTATGTTTTTTTTTGTTAATATTGTATTGTCATCTAAATGAAATGTGTGTACCAAATTTCAGATCAATCTGACAACGGCAAGGTGCTTAAATTTCAATTTCTAATTTTGACCCAAACAAACAAATTCCGTACGGGTCGAGCTAAATAAAACCGTTTAATAATGGGAAAAGACCCAAACGCGCCAAAAGAAGGTAAACTTCAAAAAGAAAACAACGATCTTATGGGCTAAGAAATTAAATTATTATAAACGCGAACTACGCTTTAAGTTAAAATAACTTATTGATATGCTCCAACATGACATGTATTCGAATTCAGCTTCTTAATTTTTGCTTCGCAATTCATGATGTCACAGTAGATGTGTGGAAAAATTCTTCTCTGGATGCAATAAGTTAATGGGGCTCTCATTATCACCGGCTTATACTTATTCTCAGCTTAGAAAGCAGTCACAAATTAGCAATGATAAATTTAGTCTTAACTTCTCTAGTTATGTCTTTTTTTGTATTCAATAATGCTAAGAACGCTGTTCTCTTTTGAAATACTTTCTTTTCACTTGCAGTCATTGTCCTGAGTCGTGGTTACAGTCATCGAATTTAATTACGAATGCTTCGTAATTAAATCTGGTGACTGAATACAGTAATTCTGGATTAATTTAGATACCGTTTTCGTGGTGGGTTTGCAATTAGTGTTTGTGCAATTTATTTTGCATTATTAGAGAATTGTGGAACTTTTCTCTTTTAAATGATTCCCACCATAAACTGTTCGCAGATTGAACATATATCAACTATTTCAAATACGCTCCACATTCTCAGTTCTACGAAGTGTTGAGAATGTTGCGCTAGTACCCAGAATTTAGAATGGCCAACTGCGCTTAAGATTTCTAGTAATTTATATTAATTGTTTGGTCTGGGTTCTTGCTCTTTTGATAATAATTACTTTTATCACTGCCAACTGACTTGAAGGAAGTCGTTTACTTTCTTGAAGTATGCCTCCTCGTGTCGAGACGTGTGATATACGGGCAAAATTGTTAGCCGTACTCGTACAAGTACGGCTACCGGAGCCATATTTCGGCAACAACGTCCAGCTCGTTATCGAAACGGACTTCGGGCTTAGGGATGGGACCTTAGACGCTGACGAAACACTTTCCCGGGACTTGGCGAACCGTCACGTCCTCCGGCCGCTCAAGCGGGCGGCCTACCGCCATTTCCGAGCGTGAGGAATGTCGTGCGGGCTGCGTGTCGGAGAAGGGATACCGCGTTCCGGCGCGCGGTGTTGCAACCAGAACGCAACGGCCCGGTGCCGCCGTTGGTTACGCTTCCAGCGATTTGTTATTAGATCGTTTCTATCGTCAATGTCGTTGATTTTGCAACGAGCGTGTTTCGCTTCGGTACGGTCATTGCGGCTCTTGTACGGCTCGGAGGTGAGAGGCAGCTGTATGTTAAACTTTTTATGAGCTGCCTACTCCTTCTTTCTTCTTGTTTCTCCTGCCCTTATCCCACACTAGTTGGGGTCGGCACAACATATCCTCTCCTTTCACTTTCCACTATCAGCCGTCATCTGAATACTGACCCCTGTCACAGACTAGAAGGCAAGCGCTTACCGTCCACGGCTGCATCGCCACTTACCATATAAAAAAAGACATATTCTTCTCACAGTCCGTCTAAATCTTTCTCGGTCTTCCTCTAGCTCTGCACCCTCCACCCACATTAGTCCTTTCTTTACTGTAATAATGATTGTTGAAGGAGTTCACGTTGTTGGCAAACGTAGAATATCAACGAAAGCTGCGCGACCGTTATTGCTGCACGAACGGCCAGGCCAGGGAGTAACGCAGCGTCACAGAAGACTAGCTTAAAGTGGAATTATAGTAATTTCGGACATCTGGGTGAATGATGTAACTAAAGCCCACTTTTCTTAAGGGCGATAACTATGGGCAGCGACATTAACTTAGCATCACTCACTTAGCATTATTTGAGCTCACACCAGTCAGTCATAATGGCCGCTCACCTGTCATCTATTAGAATAAAATGATCTATTTGGTGATTTTACATGAGAGCTTAATTCACATGTTACCGATTCCGCAAAACACGATCTTATCAAAATTATTTTACATCTTGTGTGGACCTTTCGTTTAAGCCAAATTAAAATCCACACCGAACAACAAAAAAAATCTTTGTTAATATTTTAACAACAAAAGAAAAACATTGTTAATAGATAACAGACGTATGTGGCTATAACAAATAAGTCAGCTGTAACAAAAAACTAATTAGGTATGTCGACCAAGTACTAATTGTGTTCGTTATTTAAAAAAGAAATAAAATAAGGTCTTTGAAGATAACTATTTTTGTACAAAAGAAATCGATCGTTTCGCAATCATTAAAGTGATGTATATTCATTGAAAATGTTATTTATTACAATGGTCGTTAATTTTAAGTAGAATTGAAAAGAATTGACAATAAACTATATAACCGTTTCTATTTTCGAATGATTTAGAGCGGAAATTATCTACACAAATTACTGCCATTTCCTAGTCTAGAACCAAATCAGCATACGCACAACGTAGTTTACTCTTACATGGCATAATGTTTTGTGAATATATTGTATGTTTTAGTAATTGTTTTGGGTTTTATTGCGTTCATAAAGGGGGATCTTCAATAATAGTTTTTCTCAAATATCTTCCATGTACAGACAAGTTACATTTTTATTATATGTATAGATATCTGTCTGTATCTGTCAGAATTTTTGGCTTTTACTCTATTCCACGTGGACGTAGTCGCGCACAGCAACTAGTATCCTATAAATGCAATAATTGTATTAAACAGGCGCTATAAAACATTTATTGTCCGGATGATCTATAAATTCATAATACTTAATATAATGAATATAGCTTTATAAATTCAAATTATAACACTCATAATTTAGTTTTATCAACCAACCATTAAAAGTGCGATCAAAGACAATCAAATACCAAGCCTAAATGTCCGACCGTAAATGGTAACAACCGTAAACGGTAACTTTTCACAATTAATAAACATGAAATCAATTTTACAATATTTCGAAACGGTTTGATGTTTAAATCCGCACTTTATACTTATATTTTTACACACGATGCTTTTCCAAGATTATACTACGATTTGATCTGCCTTTATAGGTTTGAAATAATTCATATACTACATATTTTAATCGTGCTCGATTAGAATGATTTGCAAAGATTTGAGTTAGGTGTACAGCTGCTTGGGCGGTTTGAGACATTCACCGCTTATCCGATGAATTTTCGCAACAGTTGTGCTAGCATTTCCCGTAGCATGCGTTCGTAGGCGCGGCTGGGCTCTTAAAGGATTGTGGTACCCAACTGGCAGTCCTTCCGACGTCTGAGTAAGGTTACGGTTATGAAATTTATACAGGTGCGGATCGTTGTACATGATGTTTTTCCCCTAGTACACGGTTAATTGTTCATTTTTTATGTGAGAAAGTGGCCTACGAGCAGGCGCGTCACTTGATGTTAAGTGATAACCGCCGCCCATGTACTTTTTAACGTAGGGTTGCGGACGCGTTGCTACTTTTTAATAAATTGGGCCCCGGCCACCTCACTCATAAGATAATAACGCAGAAGTGTAACACTTGTACTTTGCGTCAGTTTACTTAAAGGTCACGGTACTTACCCAGAAGGACCTGCCCATTAGGGCAACAGCAAACACTATTGCGTGTCCCTACTGCAGCTAATGTGTTGCGATAAAAATTTTTACAGTACTGCAGATCCTATAGTTGCGTATTTATACACAAATTTATAAAAATGAATATTTTTGGAGTTACTTAAAATATAATTAAAATGTTTCAGCAATGCATGCTGACTAGGTATTTCTTTTGAGTACAAGTGTGATGTACTTAGAAATCGTATCGTTATTTGTCATTTCAATATCGAACAAAAATAGAATTAAACAGTAACTGTGAATTGTAAATTGAGTAAAAAAGAACCTGATTATCTATTATAATTAAATTATTTTATCAAGTGCATTTTCAGTTTCGTTACAAACATCAATATGACATTTTGTAGCGTAATTTAATATTTATGGGCTCGAGTTGCGTACTTCAACGATAAATTGGCAGGCTAGTAATACCTATTATCAGTTTTTTTTTAATATTAAATCTGATAAATACAAAAAAATAATTAAAATTAATTCATAAAATTTTATTCAAAAGCACTGTTAATATTACTACTACACGGGTTTTATTGTTTCTAATTATTTTTTTTTTAGATTAAGGACGTTCGTTGTTCAAAAATTAAACCGTGGTCACGGAAGACGGTATTCAGAGTTGTTGGATGTCTTAGTATCATATTCAGTCTAAGCTACCGTCAAGTTTTCAATTTTAAGTAATCTACTTAGATTGTAAGAATAATAATGAATTAAGTAATGACAACAATGTCAAAAAATTTAGGAAATACTGTTGGCGCTGGCAACACTGTATACCGGATATGGCGTTATCTACCCGAGTCAAGGGACACAGTGTCGCATGGAGCAGTCACTTGGATTTCGGCTGCGTTGCCGGACGGTGATATAACCACTCGTGCTGCTTGTCGTTACAATAGTTGTTAATATTAAAGTTCAGTAATAGTTAAAATATTAGGTACAAGGTAAAAAAGTTAGAACTCTTATAATACTTACAAGTTGAAGTGTCGTAAGGTGCTTCTTCCACCACAAATATTTCTGATACTGGGGTCCCATGGCAGCCATCATGTAGTAACTGTACATGATGACGTGAACTAGATTGTTCACGATGTTTGAGAAAGTTCCGTGCCCACCTAAAATATTAATTTATCATTAAATTAGATCATACGTAGTAAAAACTTTCAATTGACGGTGAGTCTACTTTTATTCGATTTTGTTGCCATAGTAACGTAGTGAAATCGTCTGAAACGCCATGCAATTAACTTTGGTGGTACAGTAGCCAGAAATTCGACACGCACTTAGCAGTCACGCTTAAGAATCCCAATAACGTGTAGAAATACAAACGAGTCTTTTTGATTTGTTGTGTACAAGTTACATCTCGGTAACTTGTACACGCGCCATCAACCGGTATGCAAAGGCTGACAGTGAACGATCCAACCAAAAAAAAAAACTTTTTTAACTTTTATTAGAAGGTGTTTAGAAGTGTATACCACTTTTTTACTGAGGGTGGGCCACGCAGGCTCGTCCGGGGAAGTACCACGACCACACATACAAGACCAGTGTGAAGTATCAAAACTTTCACGTTTAGGCATTAGATGTATTATAATAAGAATATTATAGTAACAATACTATAGTAACAATACTATAATCCAGTTGCTTCCACGTGAGAAATGTAGGAAAGCTCTAACTAATTTGGTTCTTCCACCGAAACGGATGTGAAAATTGGGTATATGTATGATTTAATATGCCACTGTTCAAACTTTCACCTTATTTAAAAGCGAAGGAAAAAAATATAAATCGCGAACATGTTGTAAAGGTTAAAAGATGTTAAAATGCTCGACATATTATATCGGTCATCAAGGCCTCAAGTGATAAATGAAAACAAAAACTATTGAATGGAATTGTATGTGGAACTCCACATAAAACGCTTTTTTTCAAAACATTTTTTCTTGATTGCTTCATGTTCGCTGTAACCCGAACTAAATATGAATTCAATGGTACAAATATTTATTTTGCACAAGTTAACTGAAATATATATAAACGTGTGCAGGCAATGTGCGAATCTTATACAAAATCAGTTTATGAAATATTTTATTAAAAAATGGACGTGGTTACACCGTTATAAACAGAAAAGTTATTAGTGCACAATATTAGGGTTGAAACCCGTGACATCGTATCAGAAGTTGATAAGCCCGACCAGGTCAGTTTAATATCGTCCACTTCTGTTAACTTCATAATTAACAGCCTTAAATAAAGACAAATGTCTTCATTTAAGAATAATGTCTTCATTTGAGCCAGCGTCAGTTCAGATTTCGATTTCGTGAAATACCATCTTAACGATAATCGTTACTCAGGTGTTTCACCAAATCGATCATTGCATTGCAACAAGTTGAACAAAAAGTCACAAGTCAAGAACAAGTTAATGCTCGTAACTTTTTCCGCTGTTGTAAGACTGGGTCAACCGCACCGCGATACAGACGGAAAGTGCGTTTTTATGTCTAAATTAGCAAGCGAGCTGGCGGTTCACCTGACGTTAAGTGGTAACCACCGCCCTTGGACATGTGCAACACCCTCGCCGCCCTTAAATAAAGTCGACGGGATCGCTCACCAGACGAAACGCAGAAATATATTACTTAACATTACGTGAACCACCAGCTCGTTTGCCACTTTTTCACATAAAAAAGGCAAAAAAGCTTAAACTCACCAGCGATGAACTTGACCAGCAGCCACGCTTCGAACGGCGTCAGCGAGTGATGGTAGAGGTGCAACCACGTGATCTGACTCTTCTTCTTCCGCAGCACGAAGAATATCGTGTCGGCGAACTCCGATAGCTTGGAGAAATAGTACACCCAGCATAGGTGCAGCATCTGCGAGAAAAAGGAAGCCCTTTTAGTTTTTGATTCAGTTATAACAAAATTAAGATTGGGTTTTCAACCATCTATAAGCAAGGATCGTTATTAATATTAGATTTAATCATTAATGTTAACTTAATTTCGAAGAGTTGAAGGACGATGAACACTTGTGTTAAGGAGGAATGCCTCAACTATGTTTAAAAAACAAATATTTAACAATTTGAAGGACTTAAGATCTAAATCTATTTTATATTATCACCGGTTAATTTCAACATGTTCAAACCACATGAATCTGTTAAAACTAACCGTAAATCATGTTCGGTTCCAAAACTTGGGGCTCGATTTTTATAATCGCGCTTGCGTTGACCTACGACTGATGAAGCTATAGGTACTGAAATTATTGGACTGAAATGTTTTTATCTGTTTATAGTATTCTATCTCTAAACCTAAATTAAAAATCAAATTGGCTCCTACGACTTGACTTTCGGAATAAAGATTTCACCATGTGACATCTTTGTGTCGAAATTGTATGCACGTAAACAATAATCGAATTCTTCCAATCGCCGACCTGAGCTTTTAAGGATGTGGATGATTGTTTTATCTTTCACTAAGCGTTTTTTTTTTCTTTGGGACTAATATTTATGTGCAGGCTCGCCTGGGTAAGTACGATGGCCTCAAAGAAGACCGACGTGAAGTAGAAGTGTTAAGCATTTGCAATTCACCTGGTGGATTAGGTAAACGAGGGCCAATTATTTGATAATTTGACACGCATCTGCCACCTTTGGAGACGTCCGTGGGTAGCCGTATTACTTAATCAGATGAACAGACTGCACGCTTGGCACCTTCTCACAGAAAAAAGTTTCCAAGTTCTCATTGATTCTACCACCAATTAATCCCACATGGCAAACCGGCAGCGACCAATTGCCGCGGACCCTCGCCGCAATGGATTTCACTTTCGTCTCGCCACCGGTGGTGCGGTTCTGGCTGGCTGGTGACGTAAGAACAATTACGTTCCAGCCCGACCGGCCGCGGCTTTCACTGCGTTACGCGAACTTGATTGGACACAAGTTCATTGCTGCGACGCGGACTTCTGAGGTTGCGGTCAACGGGCATTGCCGTCGCAGGGTATCGACTGTGCGAGGAATTGCTCGTGGTTGGGGAATTCCTCAATCCGTTTGGAGAACTTATAACTGATCTAGCTATCTTTGCTAATGTCTCTACATTGAATATAGCGGTTCGTTGTGGACTTTCTTCATGTTTTTAATTCATGGCAGTAGCCAAGTTAAAGCAATATTGTACAGCTTCGGTGTCATGAGTCGTGGCTTTGATTACCATACGGGAAATGTGTGTGTGTGACTCGCAGATAAATACTTGTTTCGTATCTGGGTGATATAGGCGAGAAGCAAGAGAACCTTGCTAACACCTGATTATGAAGATGATGATAATGTGATAATTAATTACTGGTGATTCCGCATTGATATATTCAACGTACAAGAGAATTTAGTCACTATAAATTAACTGTAATCCCACTCAGTATAATATGATGTAACCATTATAACTTATCACCGCATCCTTTATTTAGAAAAATTCAGAGAAGCACTGGTAAACAAGTATAAAGATAAAAATTGACAAATAAATGACACAACCAAAGCAGAAGCAACCATAATGATATTGAGTTAAATTACAATTTCATTTATTCTAACGAATTATAAGAAAAGCATTCGTGATTTTACAACACGTCAATTTTCTTTTTTGATTAAAGATATTTCTAAATTGCAACTTTCTTTTATACAGTGTCGTTAGGAAATTAGCAAGTCTAGACAGCGAGGATATTTACGATTTACGAAAAAAGTGTGATTTTTAATACTATGCCATTAGCTTCACAGTAGTGGACCGTGTTATTTCTCTTTCGTAAGGCGCGTACCGAGCACAAATAGGTTTATGAAAGTGCAACTCTATGGTGCGAGTCGAGTACAATTGACTGAACTTGACCGAGTCACAGAGTAACGAATATTCAGAGGCTTAGATAGAATTTTATTATACAGTTATATACTCTTAAACTTTTGTTCACTTAATTTTAGAAATTATATTTTCTTGACTACGAAAATGAAATCATAAAAATACGAAAGATGATCATTTAAGGATGCTAAAATAGTTAAGCGCTTTTTTGTGTTGTTTTTTGTCTATTGCATTTGATCTGTTTTCTGTTTCGCAAAGTTCCTGGATCATTTTCTACTTTTTATCGACAATGTACCTCGCGCGGCTTATGACTACTATCAACAGATGTATTTGTGATTAAAAAAATGTCAATAGATCCCCATATACGTACTGATAGAGTATACACACAACCTGATCGTTTGAGTATTCGTAAGTTTGAAGAAAAATTAAGCTTAGGTGACTCCGTGGCGTAGTTGCCAAGGTATTGGCTTCGGCGTCAAGGGTCGTGGGTTCGATTCCCACACGGAACAACTATTTGTGCGACCCACAGATAATTGTTCCGAATCTGGGTTTGTCCGCGTGAAATTTATGTTTGTAAAACGTTCTTACAGCACAGGATAATGTTATCCTAAAGTAAGGGCAATGTTTCTTTAAAATATAATAAATAATAATAAATAATAAATGCGATGAAAACATGTATAAAATGTTCATACTTATTACTTGATGGTTTAGCAGCTCTATGGTCGCTTCCCGGAGATACATATCGTCTCTTCACTTTCTATAATGCTACTGAACAACAACGCTTATAAAGCAGTGCCGACGAAGCGTAAGTTCTTGCAGTAAACATTTGTTTTAAATAAATGAAACAACCCGACAATAAAACTTTAAGAGACATCATTAGAAGTATAGCGGGAAAGTAGAAAACACTCGATTGAAATTGAAGAGGACAGAAGAGCATGAGAGGATAGCCAGATGATCATATAAAAGTTAGTTTTTTTTAAATGTGAGAAGGAGGCGAGCTAGGTGATCGTTCACCTGATGTGAAATGCAGCCCATTGACATATGAAACACCCGTTTCCACTTCACGCCCGTCTTCTGTGAGGTGATGGTACCAACCCGGACGGACCTGCCCATTCGTGCAGCAGCGCAGACTGTTGCGCGGCCCTACCACAGTTGTATGAAAGGCAATAAATACCCACCCGCCGAGCTTTTTCGCTGTCGCTGTAGTCCACTGGCTGACAAGCGAGACTGTAGTCTCCCCACCAACCGGACGCTAGGTGCTGGAAAAAATATTATGAATTTACATCTGAAAAAACTTGAACCAATATTCTCGGTAAAACAAATCAAAAAGTAATGTTAGCGGTAAGTTTAGACAGACCGTCTTACTGAAAATGATTTAATTAATATATATATAAATAAAATGCAAAATAATATGATATTAATAGCGAAATTCACAAAAATCTTTCCCAATGTTGTGTCCACCCAAAATAGATGTTGACACTACCAACATTCGTTTTATTATTGTACATGGCAACATCTCTCTATTTCTCTTTGCCTTGTTTCTGAGTGCAGGCCTTGTGATTGTTCTCCGTAAAAATAAAATATTGTGCTATTCGAGCAGTGTTTTCCTTTTACAACATAATACTCGTTTGTAGTTCACGCTTGCACAACAGATTAATCATCGTTAAAACGTATTACAATTACCAAGCTAGCCAGTCTGATTCCGAAATCACGTCTGTAGCAAATTCTGCACCTAAAATTTAACGATCACTTTGATCGTTCTTTATTTATAATACAATAATAAATTACCGTTACCTAATAAGATAAATCACAAAAACAAATAAAGTAAAATTATTTGCGTATTAAGGCATACTCCATGACGCGACCGACTGCAAATTGGCAGGTTTCATATATTTTGTAAATATTTTTTGTTAATGTTTTGAAAATATGCAGGTTTCTCATTATGTTTTCCTTCACTACCGTACACCATTTAGTCGAATTTTCACAGGTAGCAGTGTCGAGATTTGAACTCAGGTTGATCGAGTATATTGAATAAAAATGAGCACCCGTACACTGAACTATCACGGCTAAATTGCATTTAAAAAAAGCAAAAAAAGTACTTAATGATCAATAATCATTTGAAAAGAGGTTGGCAAACGAAGCTCTTAGTACTAAACGGTCTAAAGGACGGAAAAAAGACAAGACGATAACAATTGTATAGCATCAATTAACAACTTGTATTTCACCATTCTAATTGCAATTGTACAACGATTAAATGGCATGATTCGATAGCAAGATATTTCGTAAGGCAAAAGTGAGAAAGAGTTGTTGGCTTGGCATAATACCTCCTTGAAAGATTTTTTTTTTGAACTACAAAAATGAAATTTTTGTCATGATCGATTTGCGGACACGCGGAAGTTCATGATTCCTCAGATGGAAAATCATTAAGTAACCTCTTCTACACGATCATAGGGGTCCCTTGAAGCGTGAAGGACGTGTCCGCTCGAGTGGCCGCCTATTTTCGTAACAAGTGACGCGGACATCTTGCAATCTGTGTTCTATTTAATTCGGCCAAGGAGAATGCAAACGTTTAATGAACGTACGAACATTAATTGCGTGCATCGCCCTCGGGTTACGGAAGGCGATGGAAATTTCCGTAAAATGGTTAATTTTATTTACCATTTCACTTAAAATATGTTAAAAGACAATTATGTTAAGTTTAACAAACTATGCACTTGACTCTGCATTGCCTTTTATTTCAATTTCTTATGTTTTACTGAATTTACCATATTATATAATATATATTTGTTTTGATATTGGTGGAATATTTGTATCGAAAGAGCAGTAAAAATGTTGAACTTATTTCACGCCGAAGCATATTTAGGCAATCGCGTCCATAATTTACGCTCACGATGTGAGTCATACAATACTTTCGAAAGATGCCAAGTTTTTGCTACAGGTCATCGAACCATCACTTCCTTAACTTAGAATTAATATCATGAATTTTTTTCATGAGACTGAATTCAAGAATTTAAGGAAGAGTTTATTAAATAAATGTTTGCAACACTACAGAATATTAATTCTAACAACATTAATTTTTGGCCTTCAAAAATAAGAAATTTAATGTTTGGTTTTAATTTATTTCTAATGACATAAATTTAAGTTAAATAAGTATCCCCAACGTGAACGTAGGGAATCAAAAACACTCAATAATACAGTTATTGCTACAAGTGTGTTACAAAGATGTGCACAATTTGACAATTTAGAAGAAAATTAATAATTTTTGGGTGATTTAGGATAAAAATAATGGTTGAAAAACAACAGTATTTAACGTCATTTCGTCATTTATGACCCGGACCATAGACGATGATAAAGATAGACACCAGAGGCGATTCTTTTCTTTATCATCATGTTGATGGGTTTTGCTTAAAATTTAGAAAAAAAAAAATACTGTTTTTGATATATATACACATAAACATGCCAGCAATGGCGGTGTCATTAAAATAAACACTGGTCATCAGTATACAGCTTTATCTGTAAATACCTATCAAGAACGAAACAGCAATTTACTTTAAGAAATCGTGACAGACGAGTTTTTTTATTGTATGCATTCAACTTAAAAGCTTTCACAATACGAACTTTTGTGTTTTTATATTCATAGTTGTATTCAAAATATCTATTTGGAAACCACACTCATGTAAAAGCTTTCCATACCAGGGACGAGCTTTACATGTACCCATGTTTACTTTTACGGTGGCATGCAAAACGCTATTTGTATCGACTTAATATCACACTAAAATTGAATTAATGTGAACGTTTGTATTCACGTCTTTGTCACACACCGACCAAAGACTGAATGATCTACTAAGAGGATGCTTCTGACTACGTAAAACTTAAACCTTTAATAAAATGAATACAGAAATCACTTACCTCATAAAACATGTATAAGGAGAGTAAAACTTGTCCTGCATTGTATGCTACAAGTGTGTTTTGTATTCTGAACGGTTTCTTATTGGCCATCCAAAGTGGTCCAGCCACCATCACGAAGCTGAGGTAGGCCACGACCATCGCTAGAGTCGGCAGTGGTGTGTCGAAGAGGAACCATCCTTGCACACGTGGATCTGAAATAATAAGTATTTATCAAGGTGAAGACCGAAGGTAAATTAGTTTTGAAGATTGTAATTTAAGTGAAATGAAAACTAAAACTAACTGAATCTTATATCTTAAGAGTGTCGAGTCTCGTATATGGCATTTTCATGGAGGTATTTTGATGCCAAAAAAGAAGAGTTGACCTTATTCCGTACACCGAAAACAGAACTGGATTTCAATTATAGAAGTACTAGTCTCAAACTCGAACATTCTACACAACTATTGATTCAACTTACTTTTCTTTTGTAAAAATACATATTATACATGTATAAATAATATAAGCACTAGAAAAATATTTGATTTTTTTCCAGTAATAGAGATTGAACTCACACCTTTTGTTGCCAGTGGCAACAGAAATACACTGTGCAATGTACTGGGTTTAAACCCTCATATACTATTCAGTTTATACTATATTATTATAATATTCAGTACTGAAATGAATACGCGGTTTTAAAATTGATTTGTAATTATTCCTTTAGTTTAATGATCATAAAAAGGAAATATAATCGACGGCCCAAATGGCGTAGCGGGTATTGTACCTGCTTCCTGCGCCATAGGGGTTCGATCCCCACAGCTGGAAAAATAATTGTGTGATGAACATAGTGTTTTTGTAGTGTCTGGGTGTTTATATATCTATAATATGTATTTACTTACAAAAGAAAAGTAAGTTTAAGTATGTTTATCAGTTATCTATTACCCATAGTAAAAGCGTTGCTTAGTTTGTGATTATATTATTATAATGCGAGTTGCAATATTGCCAGCTTTTTATGATTTCTTACGTATTTTATTAAAAACATTTAGATATCAAACGCTATGAGAAAAATACAAATTCAATAAAAAGACAAATTCTCCCTTAAATTATTATTCTACCTTTACAGTGAATAAGAAATCAAGCTATTATCTTCGGCAACGGGGGTTGTGGTTTCGATTCCTACACGAGACAAGTATTTGTGTGACCCAAACATATCTGTTCCAGATCTGTATGTCCAATTTAAATTTGTAAACGGAATAATGTAAACGGAAAGCGTGTTAAAAAGAAAAAAAAACCGTGCTTATTTTCGACAAGTTCACCTAATTGCCAATAAATTTGTACATGTCGTCGCTCGTGTTTCAAACCTTTCGTTTTACAAACAATATTTAATGATAAAATAGGATTACCGTCCTATTTTAAGATTTTTTTGATCCTTTATAAAAGATGTTGACACAGATTACACGGTTCATCAAGTCATACATTATTTTTAAAAGTCATTAAACCACGTCGTTTTTACAAAACGGATTTAAATGCGTCACGCTTTTTTTTAGATCATATACAATTAAATGTAAGGGTAGATTTTAAATTTAACTATATTTACGGATTTATATCGATTATTATTATATTATTATTTAATTTATTTCCTATTAATTTTTTTTTTCTATTTCCCTATATCAAAACCGACAATACCGTCCTAAATTCTGATAATTAAGGGTTATTAAACACTTAATTTTTTTATATACTTAATTTTTTTAATGTTCGATTAGGTAATGTTTTAGATAATGTTACTTTGTAGTGTAGTAGAAAAAATTAAGAGTAATAAATTGAGTAACGGAGTCTGGACAGGAGTTTAAAGAAAGCGAAAGATAATAACTTTTTCAAAACACTAAACATTTACTTCATATTACTTAAAAATCTGCAATGAAATAAAAAAATTGGGAGTGTAATTAGTTTAATTTAATTACATATTTGTAAAAAATAATTTATAAAAAAAGTTAAATGATATTTCATTTAACTTTTTTTATAAATTATTTTCTTATAAATAATTAAACGGAACTCAATTCAATTAAAACGTTAAAATAACAGACGAAATTGCTTCAAAATAATAAAAAATGATCCTTTTACATTGCGTTTAATTTTGCCAAAAGTGAATTACATTATTTATAAATGGCTTTAAAAAAGAATAACATTTAAAACTTGTAGCGAAACATCAGCTCTGATTCTTATGTGGTTTCCAAAACATTAAGTTCTCGATAACTTTCGCGCATTATTGACAGTTTTAATAAAAAAGCAGAATAGTGGTATCTTTGCGCAACTCCAATGATGGTTATTAAAGCTTATTAAATATTTTTTGCTAAATATATGGACGATACTCTTCGCTAGTGCTATGGCTGGAACGTCAGAGTTCTCTTTAATTTAAGTTCAAGTTCAAGAGGTTGATTCCTGACTTTGAACTTAGCTTACAATGCTTATTACAACTTGAAACTTTTTATTTACCATGATTACATTGCTCTTGTAGTTGTAACCAAGAAAAATCTCAGCATTTGTGAAGTGAATACGTGCACAGTATTATTTTTAATGTAAAAGACTTCAACGCGTTAAGCTCATGTTACTGGGGTTACAAATTGGGTCAAAATCTTTCATCTATATTTTAGGTTATTGGGGATAAAAATAAAAGTTGTTTTCGCTGAACTTGATCAGACTATTTTGTCTTCTGAAGACGAATGTTTTTCGAAAGTCTATTAGCGGGTGGCAATAGCAATGGATAATGTTGTACATTGTTTAGCACATTATGCCTTGTGACGTATCGAGAAATCAGAATGTGAAAGTTATCCATGGTGGTGTTTTAAACCATGTGCCTATAGTGCCGTCGCAGAGTATTAAGTTTTTACATATATTAACATGCTTGATTAAGTACTTGATTGTGCTAGCATGTGCGGTTTCTCCTGGCAGATATTTTGGTACATAGCTTTGTTTGGTTGAACAGTGGGATTTAAGTCTTCATATTTTTTTTGTAGACGGTTTCTTTAATAAACATAGAATATTCGATTGCGATGCATTTTATTTTCATACAGCATTTTATAATGCCTTGAATATATAAGTTCATTGTCAAAGCATGATTAATGTCGTTAAAATTTTCTTCAATTGTAAATTTAGTTTACTTTCATATAATATTTTATTTAGGTAAGTTTCTGGAATGATTCCTTGTGGAAATTCATCATCATTATAGGCTATGTTTGTATGAATAGGAGATCTAGAAATTAGTTCATTTATTTGTAAGTTAGTAAAGCAGTATGATAAATAATATGTGACAAAAAAATAATTTGATTTCTATTAAACAAATCCAAAATTAAATATTGGTTTATATTGTCTAATTATATTTCAGTATGAAATATTACACAAAACTTTTTGAGGCCTTTGAGTCATAATATTTGCATGATTAATTGCTAAGTAACATCATGTGCATAAACTATAAATTGTACTCGTTACGTGATATTTATTTCATGAATATGTCGTTCAATCATCATTATATATATATATATATATATATATATATATATATATATATATATATATATATATATATATATATATATATATATATATATATATATATATAGATACATATTATTATTCATTCATCAGAAAGTAATAAAAAGTACATACTATTTATTATAATAGTTTATAACAAGAGAATTAATAAAAAACGCAACAGAAAAGTGGTTATACTATTTTTAGAGATTTTTCGAGACACTTTTTTCGCCACCGATCACATGTTTAAGCACAAGTTATGCAAATGCTTGTGATGAAAGTTAAAAGTCGGCTTGAAAAGGCACTTTGGGCATTGCACTTATTCCTTCCTAAATTAAACGGACAAGTTGGTCTTCACTTTCTAATGTCATCTCTTTTTACGTTCTGAAATTTGAAAATCATTTGCACTTCGATGTAAGTGTAAGTGGTGTTAAGTTAACAAATATTTAAATAAAATGTATGTGTTAATTTCGGAACTGTTATGAAGTGCCTAATTATGGCACTTGAGCAAGTTATTAAAGCAGGTCGTAAAACCGTAATCTGTTATATTGAGTTGTTAACGTTTTCGATAACGACCGAGATAGCCTTTGTTTTTTAAAGAGCAGCTTTTTGTTTGATATTCCTACTACTGTATAATATGGTGTTTATTTGTTTCTTTGTCTCAATATCAATATATTCAACGTTATCAATTTATTCAACGGATTTACGATTTCAGCCATACTTCATTCAAATGTGAAACTATTGTACTGACTGCTTTTTTTTTACTAATTGACTTGTTTTTCATGAAATATAGTATGAAATTAAATAACTAAGAAAGGGTAAAAAGCTGAAAGAAAAATTAAAATTATTTGTAGTGGTTTTAGTCACGTGTAAAATTCGAACAATCCCACTAATGCAATAATGCTGAACGCCACTGGATTTAGAAACTTACGAGCTGAGGTTACCTCAGTTTCCGTGGGAATAGAGGATTGTTTCTTAACAGTTTTGTTTCTTAATAGTTCGTTAAGTATTTGAGTAATATTCTATCTAAAACATCTGTAATTCGGAAAACGTAATAACTAAATGGTACTCAGCTGATGTTATATATATCCGACTTTAGTATCTTTACAAATATATGACATAAAGGTTAAAAAAAACATTAATCGTATTGTAATTGTTGAATTTGAATATAAAATACTACTTTAGAATAATAAATTACTTCTTAAACATCCTTTCCGTATATTTTCTTTTTGAAAAAAAGTTGGCCTAACTAATATTAACCATTAAAACAATATTAACCCGCGTAGTTATGACGTTTCACATACATACGTTTCACATGGGCAAATAATGAAAAATACTTGCTCGACAGAACCTATATACTTCAAAAATCTCCCTGTGTATTAATTTTATAATTGATTTTCAGGATTTCCCTGAGTATCTTCGGGGTCCCAGATCCAGAACCAATAAAATTAATTGGACATGGGAAGTAAAAAAAGCTTTCAAATAAAAAAAGAATCATCAAAGGCGGTTCGCTCATTCGAAAGTTCCGAGGTAACAAACATAAAAAAAGTACAGGCTAATTGTCAACCTCCTCCTTTTTTAAAGTCGGTTGAAAAAGTATAGAGACGTTGAATCATACCCCTGACATTTATAGCGACCCACCCTGGCTTCGCATACGTGCAATATATTATACATATAAACCTTCCTCTTGAATCACTCTATCTAGTAAAAAAAACCGCATCAAGATCCGTTGCGTAGTTTTAAAGATCTAAGCTTACGTAGGGACTCACAGACAGCGTAACGACTTTGTTTTATACTATGTGAAGAAATACACAGAACAAAACCACAAACCATAAACAATCAATTTTAATAATTTAATCCAAGTTCCGTTTACGTTGCAAAATTCTTAACTACCAAATCCGTTGTATTATTTCGTTTATAGTGTAACCTTAGTTTTTGTTCATGAGACTTTGATTTATCGATACTGCTCTCTTTGTATCGGAATTAAGTTAAATGGTACATTTTAAAATTATGACGAAACAAAGTGTTTTTTGCATGTTGAGAATTTTTTAATTATCAATAAATAAAACTAATGTTTACATCAAGCTTAAACTTTTATGACATGAGAATTGTGAGATAAAGTAAAGGAGTTTCCTAATTTGTGGAAAATTTCAAAATAAATAACTCGACGCATAAGCATCGTTTTGTTATTAAAAATATATGTGCAGAAAAAATATCATTTTTTTCCCTATGACTTTTAAATAATAAAATAATTATGCCAGAGGCCAAATATTGAAAAAAAAAAGAAACCGTTGATTAAATATTTTATTTTTATTAATAAAATATTTAATCAACGGTTAAGAAATAAAATATTTTATATATTTAAGTTTTATAGTGCTAATCTGAAGCATTAACAATTTGTAGTTCTAAATACTAATGTATTTTGAAATTGTTTGTGTTTGGAAAAAGACATAACAATAGATGCGCCAAGCGTTGCCTATAATGAGAAAATACAAACTAGTTAAAATACGTTAAGATTTTCATTGCGTCGCAATAAAACGTGTAGCTTAGTGGCTGAAGCATCTGAGTGCGATTCCGGTTCGATTCCGCGAAAAACTACGTCCATTTTTTTTTACAAATTTAAATAAGCATAGTACTTTATTATTTTATTTCCCCTAGTTACAGGCTTTTCTATTTTTATCGTTGTCCTTACAAATTATTTTTTTTAAATAACAATAGTAAAAGTATAAAAATAAATAAATAAAATATAATAAATACCTGATACTCGCTCTGCTAGCATCCAATATTTGTTGATTATCGTCGTCCAATTACTGTCCGAGTAATAATCGTCGATAGCGATCTTCACGAAACCCGACATTTTGATAGTTTTTATTTTTTTTTTCTAATTAGCGCACTTTTCACTTTCGCTTTAACGTTTAAAACCACTGGACACTCACACCCCACTTAGAAAAGTTAGGTTCGATATCACTGTGCACCGTACCACTGGCCACGATTTGCTGGATACAAGCTGTCACCTAGAAATAAAAAAAGAAAATCATATGTTTTAATCTTTCCAATTTCACACGCGACTGCAGCTGGCCACTTCGTTTTCGAAATTTGAAAGAGCTTCCGATCCGAGGTTCCTTTTTCAAACCGAATCCGAGGGTTGCGCTAGCCCGTACCGATGGTCCGTCAGTCGCCGCGGCGTCATTTCGATGTCGTTCGTCGGCGGAGTCATGGGCGCATCTCTTCGCGGCGGATGAAAGGGAAAACCTGCGCTTCGTGTGAAAGTGCGCGCGGGTCGCACGCCGCCATGGGATTGAATCTCGCGCCGCCGCTTCGCCCACCGCGGGCGGCTCTCCCCACGCGCGAGAAGGACGTAAGCGTCACGGATTGCGCCACCTAATTGCGACCTAACGCCGCTGACGAAAAGTTCAGCTTAGCGGAACAACGTACCGTCCACTGTGACGTACACTTGGATATCAACAAACATTTTCATATCAATTGACAGTCGTTCATCACCAACCCTGAGGATTTTGTATTTAACTAACTGAAGAAAAGTAAATTACTTAGGATTTTATTTAAATTTATCAAGTACTGGGACTAGCTTTTAAGTAACCGTAACAATATATAAAAAAAAATAGTTAAGAAGCAAACAAAAAAAAACAACTATTTTTTTTGTTTGCTTCTTTGAGTAAACACATCATTTGTGTGTGTATTATTCGCTTTTATTTCTCATAAAGACGCGCGAGTTCCTGATGGGCTACAAGTGATTGTCGTTTAGCAATACATCTTCGGACGTGTTGTCGACCTTCGACCGTTTCTCAATTTCACACATATTTTATACCAATTTGCTATTCCAACGTAATAATAGCTTCTTAATTGTGTTAGGAAATATTGTAACTGAGGATTCTGTGCTGCGGTTTTTATACTCTCAGTACAATGAATGTTGCAATGAAACGTAGCTATGTTTTCATTTCAAGCTTGTAGCTACGGTTCATTAACAATAAAGTCCCAAATATATGGGACCATTCTCGAAACGGTTTCTTTTATTTTATTTTATCCGTATCTTAACAGCATCAATTAAATGTTATTTTTATGATAAATTCACAGATTTTTGTTCTTTTATTTAAATTTTATTTATAAAAATTCAGCAACACAGCAGCAATACCCAGAAAAGTATATTATAATCTATGATACTGCGACGATAAAATGATTTGTAAGTACATCTACGTGATTTTTATAATCAATTGTTTTTACTATGCTCTTATGGAGTTAATTTTTTTTTAAATTAAAGGTTAGTAAAATGAATTTGATTTAGGTTTCTTACAATACATCCGAAGATATTTTTTTTTGCGGAAAAAAATCCTTTTGCTCATCTCGTGACATAACATTCGATGTTTATTCACGTTCGCACTCGAAGCATTCTTTGGTAACGCAACATAACACAGATGGCGCTACTTGCAGCTTTCACTGACACAGTTACTGTGAACTTGTACTGAAGGTTTCTTTCCCTCAGTCAATGTCAAGAGCTTATTAGTTTACGAGCGAGCTTTTTTGTTTTGGAAACGGTTAATGGATTTTTTTATGTTTTTCCACATTTATAAAGCAAATTTCATCTCTGTTGCGTAAACTACAAATCATATAGTTGTGGAAATGTATTTTTTTCTTAAAATCTTACTAAAAGTTAAAAATATAATGACTTATTTATATCAGATTGGTCAAACTGTTGATTATTTCGTTATGAATATAATAAAATAATTTTAAAATTATGGTTTTATTGACAATTTCTTTTACTGTTTTATCACATACTTCACATATATATAACACCAGTCCGTTAACTATATTCTGGTAATATGAAGTAAATTTTCATTTATTAAAGACTTGAAAATGCTTGAACAGTCCCACATAACAGTCATTGGTGTTATTTATCAATCTATCGACCTAGATAGACCATCTATAGAGCAACCTCTAGCATCGAACGATGGTGTGAGAATGTAGGAGTGGCTGTTTAACATATTATGTGAAGATATATTAATAAGTATATATATAATATAATGTATTAATAAGTCCGCCAATCCGCAGTGCGGCCGTGTGGTGGACTATGCCCTGATGCCCCCTATGCCTCTGTATAGACGAAGTCTTTGCCCAGCAGTGGGACATGTATAGGCTGTTACTTTACTTTTATTTTATATTTAATATCCTATTAAATGATTAATATACTATTAAATGCATGATTTTCCGTTAATGTTCTTTCAGGCAATGTTGCGAACGCAATGACTTCTTTCGTCTTCCGTTCGACAAGGCTCATCTTTATTTTAATGGCAAAAAAAAAAAAACATAAGGTAATTAGATTTAGGAAAATAATACAAGAAAAATAGAAGGGAAGGAAGACAAAGCTTCTCGGAATTTTAAGGCGAATGAAAGTGTTAAAAATTTGGTGCCTAGAGCTTTCTTTACATCCTAGTAACTTTATTTTACTTTGAAAGCCAATAATAAGTCATGTAGGTAAGTAGGTAAAGATAGACACAATTCATTTAAATCGATAGTATTTCTAATACTGATGTTTAACAGTAGCGAAATACATTTGATACGTGACGTATTCATAAAGGAAGAATTAAAAAAAACTAATTTAACGGTAAGAGCAATTTCTATTCCTATAAAAACTTTTTGCGTCTTATTGTAACTTTGCTGTCGTTTGTTATCATGAGTGCTTGATCGTTCAATAAAAAAAGTAGTTAATAATAATAAAAATAAGTAAATTAAATAATAAAAATAAGTTTAATCAACAAATTGTGTTGATGGATCCTTTTTCATTTCAAAAGCAGCTTGAGACCCTGCCTTAATGAATAAATATATTCGAAAGTATCGAAATTATTCAAGACTAGCTTTTCGCCCGCGGCTTCACTCGCGTTGAAGCCCTTAAATAAATATCTTTCAAGACTTTACATTACTTTTTTTCAATTAAAAAATAGCCTATGTCCTTTCTCAGGGTCTATCTGTGTACCAAATTTCGTCATTTAAATCGGTTGGATAGTATTGGAGTGAAAGCGAGACAGACAGACAGAGTTACTTTCGCATTTATAATATTAGTATGGATTAGATTGAGAACAAGGACACTCTAAAATTAGAAACCGACGCTGATTTATTATATCTCTTGTAATCTATTTTTCGCCACTAAAGGTTATAGTCAGTGATGACTGTAGTAAGTAAATGATTACACTTGAGAAGTATTTAACTGATTATTGTTTTCGGAAATCTTTATACGATAAAAGTGCTGATCAAACTCTGTAAGTTTGAATTGATCGGAACGAATTGAAAGTATTGAGTTACTAAGCAATTATCATCTATCGGCCACGTTCAACTTTCATAGAATCATTACTTTGCGTAATAACATGTTTGTCAAGGTCGCATATGCAATTTGGCCAAATAGTTTTCGGCTCTGGTATTTGAACAAAATCAAGGTGGCGTTTTATTATTTATAGTTCACGTTAATTATTACGACATATAACTTATGTTGGAGGAAGAAACATAAATTTAAATCAAATAGTGTGTACACGAAATAGAAGTAGAACAAATATAATATGTACACAATGTTTACAAAAACCTATTGCTTGTACATAACTTAGCTCTGTGCCACGCTGTGGCATGAATGGGCAGCTCCGTTCGGGTAAGTGCCACGACCTCATACAAGACCAGCGTGAAGTGGAATTTTTATACTTCTGCGTATCATCTGGTGAGTGAGGTAGCCGGGGCCCACTTTATTAAAAGGTGGCAACGCATCTGCAAGCCTACGGGGGTTGCAAATGTCCATAAACGGTTATCACTGCTCATGGACTTTGTATTAGCTCCCTTGCCACCGTCTCAGATAAAAAAAAACATTGAAGAAGAAGAAGAAGAAGAAACGTTTATTATTGTCTTATCAGATATTATTTTTTTTAAAGTTTTTATATTGCTAATCTCTACACTTAAGAATGAACATTAAAACATGTAGAAAAAGTACGAAAAGATTGTCGCCGCTGTGGGAATCGAACCCACGTCTTCGGCATTCGCGGCCTGACGCTCTAGCCATTGAGTTAAACGGCTGATAGCCAAAGCGACGAAAATCTCAACGGCTTCTTTCTACATTGTAATTTAGCATTTGAAGCAATGCTTGGCGCATCTATTGTTATATCCTTTCCAGCATACAAATAATTTCGAATATCGTTTTACAACGATAATTCGAACGAGAGATATCGCCATTGCTTTTTATACCAAATATTAAAATAGTAAGCTGCTTTAGCTACTTAAGCAATTTATTTTGCTGCCAATGATACAAATTTATTTTATACATCGGTAAATTCGCAATTATCGACTTGAAGCAATGTTTTGCAGCATTTACAAAAGGGTACCCGCATTTGAATTAAAACAGATTTGTTGTAGACACTTTTAACGGATGTTTGTAATTTGTCTACCTAAGAGTACTTTTAGTGACATAAAATATACCGTAAATCCATTTCATTACAGAATGCGACAGTGAAAAATTTACATTGATACTAAAAACTACTGAGGACACTATTGTTTCACTGCTACAGCCAAATGTCAAACATGTCCGGTGGAAATATTTCCTAACACCTACACTAAGCTAAGCAGACGGCAGAAGAATAAAATAATCATTAAAGTTAATGGGCGGCGATATCGATACGCTGCCGATGTGGCCACCCGTTCTGCGTGGCCGCTACACACGCGTTCACCGGCTTTCTGTAGAAAAGCTTCCAGAAACGCCACTGCGCGCCGCAAGGTCATTCATTCTCGCAATTCATTGTGTAACATCACGTTAAATATTAACACGTTCCGCCGCCGTCGCTCTAACTGGTAAACCCTAACTGGGTTAAGGTTGGTCATAGCGTTCTCATCAGCGCTATTTATGATTACGTAATAAGTGTCACCGTTGGCCGCAGGGGCAGCCCTAGGGACAGACAAATCTCCATGAAGATTGACCACCGTTCATCAGCTCGTTCATTCATTCCATTGTTATTTTGCGGTACAGTTACAACGTACCGCAAAATTCAGTTCACTGATGAAATATAGATGTATTTCCATGTGCTGCATATACATGTTTTATATTATAACAAATGGTATGTATTAAAAAAAAACGCCAAAATGAACTTGATAACAGTCGTTCAGTAAAACACATTAATCTTCTATCAAGTTACATAAATGATCAATTTTTCAAAATACGTCTATTTTATACTGTAACATAATGTTAGTCCTTTGTCACTAATACACCCGAAGCACTTGTTATTGTTTATGAACTTCTCATCGTCGTTTATATAATTGAACATTTGATAAGAGTTAATGCATCATAAATACACAGAGATGTCTGTATCCAACAATCGTTTTGGTCTCAGTTTATTCAACAATCATAAGCACTGTGGTTAGAAACATCAGGGTTTCAAACTAAAACTCCTGTCCTTTATAATAATTATGTAATATCAAAGCTTATAATATAATTTACCTAGTGTTATCTTTAGATTTATTAAGTCAGTAACGTCTGTACGCGAGTAGAATAATAACGCAGGATTTTTATTTTTTTACAACACAATACTCTGTGCTGTGGCTTTTGTGAATTAGTAAATACGATGGATCGTGGTTACCGTTCGCTTTTTCAGAATACCCATTGAGTTTGGGGCAGGTTTTTTTTTACTATATCGTCGGGCAAAGGAAAATTAGTGCTGTAGACAGTTCTTGAGCTACCGTTTAAGCGATTTTTTTTACTATGTCGTCGGTCATGGGAAAACTAGGGACAGTGTTGTAAATAGCTCTCGAGCTACCGTTTAAAAGAATTTGTGGACGTTGCGAAAAGCGTTTCATAAGTCGACCTTTCGATTTCATCTTCAGACCAGTCCACCTCGACCATGCGCACCAGGCCCAAATCGCCCGGGTCACTGTCACCGCGTCCCAGATTTTCGTCACCAGCGCACACACCAACGGCCTCTGAGTGACGGAGCAAGGTCCGATTTTACCAAGACACTCGTAATATTCGGCTGTCGGGTTATGCTCTGTTTAGTAAGTGCCCGCCGTTAAGATGAAACATCGCCTTGATCTCGTTTGTTACCGCGACGGTGGCCGGCGAGGGAACAGTCAATTTCGACACTAAAATCTTTCTTTTTTATTTCGGTTTGAAATGGCTTATTTATACACGAAAGTAGCTTTGTCTGTCTGTCTCGCTTTCACGCCAAATCACACAAATAGTTGCCCCGTGTGGGAATCAAACCCACGACCCCCGACGCCGAAGCCAATACCTTGACGACTGCGCCACGGAGTCATCAAATATAATAATAAAGAGAATAATTATAAAGAGTTCTTAAAGGGGATAGATATTTATTTAAGAGCTTCAAAGCGAGCGAAGCCGCGGGCGAAAAGCTAGTGTTGTATACGTGTGGGCATCTGTCTTAAAATTCGTACGGCTTAGTGTACATCAGATAAAAGATACGGATTTTTGTGATACTATCTCTGTATCCAACAAATGGTAGTGTTAGTAAGAATTTTCTTTTAATTTGACACATGACTACACACAGTGACCGACATAAGATCGCTACAGATTGGGACATACTGACGAAGAAAAGGAACGCTATTAAAATACAAAGTTTTACGAAACGCCTTATGATTTTCGTGAGCCATAAATTGCTCTGGCGAAAAATCAAAGCGATAGTCAAACGTAAATTGAGAAATAATATGCGACAATAAGTTTTGTAACAAATACAAAACATCAAACAATTTAGAAGGGGATATTACAAATATTAGGTAAGTATTATAAAATTTGTTGTAAAATACTCGTATCATGCACAAATCTATGATTTTAGAAAAGAAACAAAAAGATGAATACTATGTTCTCTTCTAGAACTGAATGGTTCACTATAATTATTTCGAGTAATTTTTCTTAAAAGCAAATTAGTCGTTTTGAAACGAATAGAGAGCAAAGAGATTGCTTTAAGAGCCCCGTTGGGCATACAGATAATGTATTTGTTTTGTTACGGTCATGGCTTAATATACGAGTATATGCGGTGCTAGAATGAAAAAGTAGAGTATAGTAACAGCCTATATATGTCCCACAGCTGGGCATAGGCCACCTTGGTGCATAGGGTATTAGGGTCATTTCCACCACGCGGCCACACTGCAGATTGGTGAACTTTACATATCCTAGATTTTTTTTGTTATTACTTCAAGAATATGCTGGTGTCCTCACGATGCTTTCATTCACCGTTGAGCACGTGATAAATCATCGTTTAAAACTATCATTTTCATTGGTGCCGACAACGGGGATCGAACTCAGGTTGCTCGAGTATTTATTTTTTATATATTTATTGTACACAAAACACAAGTTACAAAAAAAATAATGAAAATGAAAATAATGTAAAAAGGTAAGCTTAACTCAATGCATGAGTTCTTGCTCGTTCATTTATAAACGAGTACATAATTATGTCTTCGCAACTTTAATATTAATTTAAACTTATTTGTATGTCAAAGTATTATATGTATTTGGTTGTTGTACCTTAATAAATAAAGAAACTTTTTTCGCCATTGTTTAACAGTAGACGCAATACCTTCTACGTTTGAGGAAAACGTGGATGGATTCCAGTTTATGAAGACGGTATGCGACGTAACCTGAACTTGACAATGACTCTATCGCTAGACAATGACGCAAAAAAAAACACTGAAAATATTGCAAAATTCACTATTGTCTCTTGAGGATTAAACGCAAATGTCGGATAAATACTGTCAAGTTGTCCATGAAAATCATACTTCCGTCAGAAGATTATTAGCGAAATTATTGTAAGTAACCTATTGGTTAAGACATGTTTAAATGACGTGCGATTCGGAATCTTAAATAAGATTTAGTATAACTCTCAATTGCTCCCAAGCTATTAATCCTTGTGGCTATTACTTGCGTTGCAATTACCTGCGGTCTAATGAGATAGCCCTTATGGTCAAGGGAACTGCTTAACGGATGTATTCACGAATCTTATTAGTTAGGGGGTCGGAACATCATCAGAATCGTGTTTTCGAATTGGTTCGCTGTTTTTTCCGGGGCTAAACCGGAAACCGGGAGGCAAAGGCGGAATAATTTTCTGTGTGAAGCACAAATACTAATCGAACCGTACCGTGTGGAAATCGAACCCATGTCCCTCGCTGTCGAAGTCAATAGCTTGACAACAGTATCACAGACTCATCTTCACCTCATGCGCTTGTCTTCTCAATAGTTACTCTTAAATGTATGAAAAATGATTATTTTTGTATGAAAATAACCTGTAAAACTCTGTGGCACATTATAATGGGTAATTACAATAGATGGTTGATGTTGTTGATTTTAAGAAGTCGCAATGAAAGATATATATTTAATAGATGAATAATATATTAATACATACATCTCTGTTGGGACTACGCAGTCTTTAATGTAGCAAGAATGGGCATACTTGTCCGGGGAAGTAACACGACCTCGCGGAAGACCAGACGAAGAGGAAGTATTAAACTTCTGATTCGTCTGGCGAGTGAGATAATCGGGGCCTAGTATTTAAATAATGAAAAAAAAAAAACATAACGGAATGCTGCAGGTGTCCATTGTTGGAGGTTATCGCTTAACATCAGGTATACCGTCAGCCAGCGCGCATGCCATCTTCTCATATAAAAAAAAAACATGAATACGAAACGATAATTTTACGAAAGTATTGCCGTCGACTGTACACGAGCAGTTACGAGTACAGAATGCATTACCTCAGAGTACGGCATTTATTGAATATACTTGAATGAAAACACTTTCAATAAACATAACATATATTTGAAAAACAAAAACATTTTTGCTTAACAGTATATCTGATCAACCTTTCATAATTGTCCATTATTTATCAACGGTGAAACTTTCTTAATTACGATAATTAACAATATACAGGCACGAATATAAAACGAATACGAAATCAAAGCCGGATATCCCGTCTTTAGTAACAGCCAGAGACTACAATTTAAAGGATGTTCTATTAATTATTTTGTGAATCAACGATCAATAAATCATTGTAACCGTTGGAAATGTTCAAGGAAAATGTGAATTGTTACTGCTATTGCGTAACAATAAAAATAAGAGGAGTTTTACAATTAAAACAACTACTTTTTATTTCTCCACACCGCATACCACAGGAACGTAGTTTGGGAAACATTCTGTGTAAGGTGATATTTACCAAATCATGCTCCTGTAGTATTCCCACCATTTGAAAATATTTGGTATATTATTTTTTTATTATTAAGATTTATTTCAACTTCAAATTGAAACACATAGGAATAGATGTTTCAATTTGAAGTAGGAACTTATCTTGAAGATTGTGGAGCCTTCCAACTGAAGAAATTACCCAATGAAACAAATAAGATGAGTTGCCCTTTCGAAACTTATGGGTTCCGTAGCTTTTAAGACTTTGTCTAGAGTGTTAACTATGAAGAATTTGATATTACTTTCATATGGATTAAGTTGTCGCAACGGATTGAGTTTTGCAAATGTGCGGGAAGTCTATGGATGCAGTTGGCTCAGGATTGTGCTTTGTGGCAGTCTGTGTGGGAGGCGTTTGTTCAGCATTGGACTCCGATAGGCTAAAATGACGATAAAATGAAGAAGTTATCACATTTATTCAACTTTTATATATATTCAGGTATTGAATTTCTTTATTTATATCAATTAATTTTGCTCAAAAATTTACTATTACTGGATTTTAGAAAACATATTGTGTTCGTTAGACGCAGATCACTTCACTCAAATTTAAACAAAAACATAACAGATTCCGAGTATTTTTAGATAAAAATTGTTCTGTTTGTACCAAAAATAGAAGTGCTGACGGAAACTCTCTGTTTTGTGTTCATATATGCGTATGACAAATACCTATTTTGATGGTTGTACTATGGCAAAGAGTTGTTTGTTAGCTAAAGTACTTTTACTCGGAATTCTATGACTGAAAAATGTTAGCCTGACACTTAAGTAAAAATTAAGTGCGTGTTAAAAGGTTCAGATAGTTTACAATCAATCTCTAACTACAACAAATTGAGAGTTGAAATTTCCAATGACAAGTATTCAAAATTTACGCTTTTTGTTATTTACAAATATTACAAAAATAAAAATATCATTTCAAATAATTCTCATATAAAGTTACATATATACAATATACATAGTACGATGAAGCAACATGGTTAGTAATAATATACAAAACAGTTAATATTATAACGCATTTTGATAATAATACACCTATGTTTTAAACAATCGTTTTTGTGTAAAAGTTAGTTAAGTTAAGAGGAATTAAATCTATGAACTGGATGATTGAAATAAAGGATGGAATTGTGAATAATTCTATCGAAAGAAAACCTAAATTTTTTATATTATATTGTTATCTGAAAAGTTTAACGTGTAAAATGATTCTAGAATGGATTTAAAAAAAAAAAAATTAACCAAAAAAAAAAACGATAAGACAACATACCCCTGCAATAATCTCCACTGTGATACTTAATATCGAAACAAATTTCCCACATGAAACTCCAAATATTTATCGTGTTTGATGAAAATGCGGAGGTATACTCACTATTCCGCTTATAACAATAACGATACGATCATCACTGGCTGAACAGAGCACAGTATGACAATTTTAATGTATTTAAAGCACAAAACTCATTTTGTTGCGTAGCACAAAGTTACAGAGCAATAAATTCTACGAGACATTAATAAAGCACATTAAGAATATCTTAAAATATTGTATATAATTCAGTATTTATTTTATATACTCTTCAACATACCGTTTTTTTTTTCTTATTTCAACTCAACTTTCAACATACTGTTTTTTACTGTTGAGGCTGCTGCGTGGCCCTAACACCGTAAGATATTTCTACTATATCAAATAACTTTTTTTTATGAGAGAAGGTGATAAAAGGGCAAATGTTCAACCAGATAGTGACTGAGTACCACCGCGTATGGATCTCCGCAAAAACCACGTGATTGCAATTGAATTTCCGAGTTTCAGGAGTGTGGGCACCAGCTACAATAAATGCCAGACGAAATTATGCCGGTCATTGGCATCTACTACAACTCCATAACATGGTATATCCCCAGATATATTAAGCTTTTTTCGCAACAACTGATGCGTGGTTGAAGGTAGCTAAGAATGACATCAACTAACAAACTGGTTGAAACCAGTAAAACAAAATGTACACATCGTCGTAATGAGCCGCAAAACGATAAAACCTACATAGTAGTGAAATGTATGTAAGTTACTAACCTTAAATGTTTAAAAGTTTCAGTAGGATTTATACCACTAGTCAGCCTGCATGACAGAGCATACGGACATTGCATGGTCTCATACTGTCCAAAGGTATGTTAATAACGATCAATTGCATTAGCTTTTCGCGTGGTTCAAGTGCTCAAACTGGGTTAACCAAACGGTTACACACTACGAATTGCCAAAAACTCGAGAAGGTTGTAAATGCTCGATGTCATATGGCGCTTAGCCATAATGGTTATAACATAATGGTCAAGATTATCTTGAGCTATATAATGTGGTTTGATGAGTCCGTGGCGCAGTTTCCAAGATATTGGCTTCGGCGTCGGTTCGATTCCTACACGGGTCAAAAATTCGTGTGACCCACAGATAGTTGTTTCTCATCTGGGTATTTGTCAGCGTGAAATTTATGTTTGTTGAACGTCCTTACAACACAGGATAGTGTTATCCTAAATTAAGAGCGATGTTTCTACAAAAGAAAATAGAGGTTTATATAGCTTGTAATTTTCTCGGAACAACTCTGTTTAAATATTGTATTACTGCTCAATATTTTGGCAACAACTTCTACCTGCTTTCTTGTGTCGTATATTTATAATTTTCATGCTACTTATTTTAGATTTAATGGAATGTTTGGATGCAGTTTTGATGAGAGAGCTTTATTGTAGAAGAAAACTTCACTCCAAACTCAGTTACAATTACTATGAAGTCACTTCGCAGTACATTTGGTCTGAACATTTATTACTCTGGAATTTGTTAAGCAATTCGCTTTTTTCTTTTTTGACGTAAACCGTCCTTCTATGTTATTTCCTATGACGTATATCCAAAAACAATACATCTGTACGTTCCTGATACCTTTAGATAAATAACCGTTTTACGTTTTGAAAGATGTATACAAAGTCATGTAGTATTACTAACATGCTTAACATGCTCGTGTTCGTCTAATAATGGATGAATTCAATTTGAAAGTAGCAACTTAAACCTCATGAAGTTAACTTTTTTTTTAAATATATTTCAAATAATTAATCAATGTTTTTTTAAAAGTTTTTTATAGTGCTAATCTCTGCACTTAAGATTGAACATTAAAACATGTAGAAAAAGTACGAAAAGATTGTCGCCGCTGTGGGAATCGAACCCACGTCTTCGGCATTCGCGGCCTGACGCTCTAGCCACTGAGCTAAACGGCCAGCTTTCCAGCTGGAAAGGATATAACAATAGATGCGCCAAGCATTGCTTCAAATGCTAAATAACAATCTAGAAAGAAGGCGTTAAGATTTTCGTCGCTATGGCTATAGCCGTTTAGCTCAGTGGCTAGAGCGTCAGGCCGCGAATGCCGAAGACGTGGGTTCGATTCCCACGGCGGCGACAATCTTTTCGTACTTTTTCTACATGTTTTAATTAATCAATGTGTTTAATTGTGTTTTATTCGCAGTCCTAAATAGTATGTAAGATAAACTGTCAATGACTGGATAACTTAATGCAAGTGTACAAAATAGTTTAATGTAAAAAGTCGTTACATACTAGTGCATGAACAGTCCTATTTTCCATATTTTTGTGTTTTTCTCTTTGATTATTTTCTTATGCTATTGTAACCTCAGACCCCTAGATAAATTAACACTCACTACTAGAAAAACTTTAATGGTGCTGGTACAAAACCCACAAACACTGATACACCAGCTTCGAGTTACGTATATAAGTATAATATATTTTAATCAACGCGTAAATATTGTAAATTTTTAATATTAATAGAATGATAATTAGTTATCATTCTGTGATAACTAATTAGATTCTATGAATGGTTGCATAACATTATTATGCATAAATTCTATTACAACTGCCGTTAAATTTGAAAAAATAAGTCAAAAACAAACATACCTATACACATAATGGTCCTCATAAAAATTTACTGCTGACGACTGTAGTTCATTTCGTAACTTTCAATAACCAGCCATTACTTTCCTGTAATAATAATAATTTTTCTACGCTTGAATTTATAGACGGATATCTTGATGTGTGTACATTTAGACAGGAAGTACGAGTACTGTTGAGTCCGTTTGCGTGTTCGTAGAATTCATTGGTTATAATTAGTATGCCGTTGCATCAAAAGAAACCTTCAGGAATGTTCCTGTTATTAAATATTATCATTGTGTGATTACTAAGTGATGATACTAAATGAAGCCCGGAGCCCAATTTTCAAAAGGTTGTCAACGCATCTGTAACCCTCGAGTGTAGCAGATGTCCATGGGCGGCGGTATTCACTTAACATCAGGTGAACCGTCTGCTCGTTTGACAACTTTTCGCATAAAAAAAAAAAATGAAACGATTTTAATTTTAATTTGTAATTTCCCACATTTCAAAACACCTCCAGTGTTCATGGTTATGGGGCAAAATTAAAAACTTGATGAGATCCGTAAATTTAATATCCTTCTAAATATTATAAAGGCGAAAGTTTGTATGTAGGGATGGATGTTTGTTACTCTCTCACGCAAATACTACTGAACAGATCTTAATGAAACTTTGCAATTATATAGCTTATACATCAGAACAAAACGAAGTAACGACAGTAAGTCTTGTGTAACTTTGTTTGGTTTTATCACCGCAATAAATTGAAATGACGCTTTTAAGACAGTATTATAATTCGAAGAATCGGTTTTCATTCAAAGATCTTTCTGGAAATTGAAACAAATGAACTTTGTGAAAGAAAAGAAACAGCTAATGAAAAGCAAAAGAGTAGAGTTAGGTTATTTGTCTCTTCTTGATTTACCAGTTTAAGTTTGCTTTCTCGAGCTTGAGCATGTTAAAATAATGAAAGCAAATAAAGAATAACATTCAATCACAGGTCATTAAAAGTGATATAATTTAATTGACGGTTTTATTAACAGTAAACCTAATAAACTAATACATAGTCAAAACATAGTCAGAAACAATTTTTTTTTTAATAAAATAATTTCATGCGGCGTATGTTGAACATTTCATTCTGTTTAGCTGATAAAAGTGTAGCATGTAAGGAATGTCCTTGGTTTCCTAAGCCCATAAAATAGGGAACTTTCTAGAATTATTTCTTACAATTATGTGTGGTGTTTTAATTTTCGGTGGAACGACAACCTCAGACCCTTCAACGAAAGTGGGCATTGTGCGCCTAAAGTACATACATTCTTTGTTTACGATAGTCTACTACAGAAATATATGAATCAGTTTTTCCTTGCACATGCAGTTTAAAAAGTTAAGTAAAAGTGTGTTGACTACGTGGCACAGTTGTCAAGATATTGCCTTAGGAGCCGGGGATCGTGGGTTAGATTCCCACACGGGACAGCTATTTTGTGTTAACTACAGATAATTGTTTCGGATTTCATCGTTTGTCCACCTGAAATTTATCTATGTAAATGGCAATGGTTTATAAAAAAGAATTAAGTTAATAAATAATTTTTTGAGACATTTTATACAACGTTATCTAGTCCTAAACTTAGCAAAACCTGTACTATGGGTAAACGAAATGTATATTATATGTATAGGTATCTTTAATAAATAAATACATTTTATAGATAAAAACACCCAGACACTAGAAAACATAATGTTCATCACACAAAATTTTCCCAGTAGTGAGATCGAATCCACACCCTCTTGCGCAGAAGACCAGGTCTATAAACTACGCCAATTGGGTCGTCAAAAAGTGTTTTACTTTTTTTTTAATTTAGAACTGGCCAGCACTTGACTCCCATCCCACCTGATGGTAAGCGGCGATGCAGCCTTTGATGGTACTTTAAGCAGTTATACTTACAGTGTACGGTCGCTCAATATGGCATCGCTCGATGGTGGGTGGCGAATTCGTGTTCCTCCTCCTCCGTCAAGACGCATTCTTCGAAGCACCAGAGGCCCGCGATCGCCAGTAGCACGGTGTACACCATGTAATAGACCAAGTAGATCAGGATCGTGAACAACATAGCGCTGGTATACTGGCCAGATGAGCTTCTGAAACAAGCCATGAATAGGATGTTATATAGGAGTACATAGAAAGAAAGAACGAAAGAAAGAATAAATTTATTTACCAAAAAAATGACGTACACAACAAATCCAGATTTAACAAAGAATAAAATAAATAAAAATTTTAGTAATACGTTGTAGATAAATAAAAACAAAAGTAACACATAAATATAACTGCTGTACAATAAAAAGAAGGAAAAATAAAAACAATAATAAGAATAACAACAATAAGAGATATATTTTATTGTACGCCCTATTATCGGTAAATTAGGTCAGCACATGGGGTAACATTCCGCTAAGATCAAAAATTTAAGTTACAAACCCACAGCGTAGAAAATGGCTACAGAACAAATTGGCGTTGTTAATTATTGTCAAGTTGCTAGTAATAATTACCTACAATAAATATACGAACAAAGACTTGTATTGTAGTATATATAAAGCTTTCAACTACTTAAAGGCACATCTGTAGTCAAGTCATATATACGCTGCTATTTGTTCCATTACAGCTGCAATTTATTTTATTCTACATCCAACTTGTACTATAGTGCTCAAAGTTGATTTGCAATATGTAACGTAAGAAACAAAGAATGACGATTTTTTTTAAATTTACAAGTGGAAAAATGTATTAAATGAAACCTAATCAATTTACCAACATTATTTTCCATTGCAATAATATTTAATCTTGCTTCAATTAAAGTTCATTATTTTTAAATATAAAGAACCTGAATTTTTAAACTTTTTGTTTGTATTATTGAGTCACAATATTTTTTTGTTTATCCACTTTATAGTCTAACAAGTTTATCACTTCTTTGTCTTAAAATCATTCACTTAAAATCATCCACTTCACTGTCCTAAAAGTTTTTATAGACTAGGAAATGTAAAATATGACATTTTTTATGTTCCTAATGTTTGTCTTCAATTGTATTGTAATAAAATGGTGATGTGTTTTATTAACACTTTCAGCGGCTAAATACTGACAAATCGCTTTAATGAATGTTAATGTCAAACTGATAAGAGATGAATCGTTATGCAAAAACTTTCTAAATTCATTAAAATAAAAATCGTATTCAAAAACGTGAGTTACAACGATATCAGTGATAATATAAAACTCGTAGACAATAATATTTGTCGAAAATAACGACAGGGTCACTGTAAAATCACATTTACCATTACAAAGGACAAACAATAATCAGATTGAAAAAAAAAAAAAAAAACGCACGTTTTGTAACTGTAATTGAAGGAGAAAAAAAAACGAGCACCGTGATGCAACGTAACACCGATTATCGTACATACGTGGCAGAAAAAACTCACATGAAAGGTCACACAGTAATCTTAGCAATTGTCGCGAAGAGATTTTCGTTGACTTTATCTTATAGTTGCCGAGTATGTTTGTATTTTACCGCAATGAAGAAAAATTAACTTAACTAATATATGATATTAATACGGCAAAATATATAATACATGATATTGATAAGATAAATATTCGTTTTAGGTAAGTGTCTTGGTTATGTTTGCCAGTATTGTCGAAAAATAGACATATAGTAAAATTAATTTTCAATAAGAAATATAATAGGTATTTCTCAAAAAAAAAAATTATTCCGAACGTAAACCATAACTACCATAGTTGTGAATGAAATTTAATGATTTAAACACCATTTGAAAGTAATATTTCATCTGCACGGATACAATAATGTAAAAAAAAATAAGTAACAGCCTGTATGTCCCACTGTTGGGTAAAGGCCTCATCTGTACAGACGGTATCGGGGCATAGTCCACCACGCGGCCCTACTGCCTATTGGCGATATAGGATAAAGGTAATGTTATCATAAAAAGATATTTCTTTATGGAAAAAGGGGCAAACGAGCAAGCGGTTCAACTAATGGTAACGGCTGCCCATGAAAACTTGCAGCATAGCAGGCGTCACGATTGCTTTGCATGATAAATTCGTTCACAAATTGTTTAAATGAAAGACAGTTAAATAGACTGCGTTTTACGGCTAAGACGACCCAATTGGCGTGGGGAGTAGTGACCCTGCCTCCTGCGCCAGAGGGTGTGGGTTCGATCCCCACTACTGGAAAAATATTGTGTGATGAACATCGTGTTTTTCCAGTGTCTGGGTGTTTATATAAATGTATAATATGTATTTATTTACAAAAGAAAAGTATGTTTAAGTAGGTTTATCAGTTTTCTAGTACGCATAGTACAAGCGTTGCCTAGTTTGGGACTAGAGAATGTTGTGTAAGAAATGTGTCCGAAATATTTATTATTATTTATTTATTTAAGATATTTTTTATTTATAATTACTTATCTGCACATATAATACACGACCATTCGGTATTGTGCGTTAATTTCGAATCAAATCAAGTCAAATCATTTATTCGTCGAAATAAGAAATATACATTTCGTTTATCGAGTCATTTTTTAAATATACCACCGTTTCGCAATGAGGTTCCTCTAACGGAGAAGAAACAGGCGAAAGAACTTCGCACGGGCTACTAGCTTAGCATATTACAAGTAGGTACTATAGCATAATATATTTGTCTGTTCTTTTGTTGGCAGATACGATTTTCGTTAATCTTGTTATAATGACGGCGGCTAATCCAAGTTCGTGAGCATTGTCATTAAGTAGGCAAGCACCTTGCGAGGTATTTCCCAGTTCATCAGAAACAATTATGAAAAGGAAGCGGTTGTAAAAACAATTTTACGATTGGAAACAATGCAATAATCGAAAACAATAAAAGATTGACTTCGAATGGGGTGATTACAATTAAAATTTACGAACTAGCCTGGTTCTGGTACTAACCCTGGTTCAATGTGTGTGTGTAGGTGACGACAAATCTGGTACCAGAAATGAATTAGATAATACTTATTTAAGGAATATCAAGCAGCTGTAATATTTTAATTTAATAACACTCAGTACTCAAGTATTATTTGAAGTTTCTCAGGCAACATCTTGCTTTTTTTCAATGTTATCTAATCATTTTAAATTATAAGCTTTATTGTTGGTAGCTCTCCGGTGGTAGGGACATGCAGCAGCCTCGGCTGTTGCACGAATGGGCAGGCCCGTCCGCGTAAGTACCACGACCTCGCAGAAGACCAGCGTAAAGTGGAAGTATGACAAATACTTTCGCGTTTCGTCTTGTGAGTGAGGTAGCCGGAGCCCAATTTTCAAAAGGTTGTCAACCCATCTGTAACCCTCGGGTGTAGCAGATGTCCATGGACGGCGGTATTCACTCACCATCAGGTGAACCGTCTGCTCGTTTGGCAACTTTTGACATAAAAGGTCTGTGTCTGTGTCGTTTTGGAAAATAGTAATTTTTTTTTACTGAAGAATATTTCCGAATCGTTGTAATGTTTTCACAGATTCGATTTCTTATATGTATAAAAGTAGTTAGATTAAAGTTAAAAAAAAAAAAAAAGTGTGTGCCTATGTATGCCCCACTGTTGGGCAAAGGCCTCCTCCGTACAAAAGGGCATAGACTTTTGTTATTATTTTGAAATTATGCAGGTTTCCTCACGATGTTTCTTTCAGCGCCGAGCAAGTGACAAGTCAGCACTTAGAATTAACACCAATGGGTGGCGGCAACGGGGATTAAAGTCAGGTTGCTGGAGTATATGGAATTAAAAGCGTCGGCCCGGACAAAAGCTATCATGGCTCATTTTCCGGGCTAGATACACGCTAGTTAGTGTATCTCACATTTAAAAGTATTTGTTTTATGACGATGTGTATCGTTATGATGAAAAAATTGTTTAAAGGTCGACTGACCTCACTCCAAAAAATTCTAGCTTGAACATAAGCTAGAATTTTTAGAAAGATAGTATCAATCTTAGAGGAAGGTTTCTGGCTAAATACATTTTCTCAAATATATTTCAGTATACCTGTGTTTTCAATTTTATAAGTTCTGTGAAATATAATAGACACTTGAGTTTTTATGAACACTTAACCCTGAAGTTTTTAGTTTTTTTTGGTTGTATTTTTATGCACAATAGAAATAATTTTAAAGTGCAATGACACGTACGAGGCAAGTAAAGGCTAATGCCACGTTATTATGGTTATTTGTCACCCGCGCTCGGAATTTAATACAGTAAAGTGAATTAAGTAATTGCTGGGGTTTTCTTCGATGATTACTCAAAACTTAAATCATCGTGTATATTAAAATATGTAGAAAAAGTGCGAAAAGATTGTCGCCGCTGTGGGAATCGAACCCACGTCTTCGGCATTCGCGGCCTGACGCTCTAGCCACTGAGCTAAACGGCTGATTGCCACACCGACGAAAATCTTAACGCATTCTTCTACACTGTTTCCTTAGCATATGAAGCAATGCTTGGCGCCATCTATTGTTATATCCTTTCCAGCATACAATCAATTTCGAATATCGTTTTACAACGATAATTCGAACGAGAGATGTCGCCATTGCTTTTTTTTAGAAATTTAAATTGTTTATAGTGCTAATCTTTGCACTTAAGATTGAACATTAAAATATGTAGAAAAAGTGCGAAAAGATTGTCGCCGTTGTGGGAATCGAACCCACGTCTTTGGCATTCGCGGCCTGACGCTCTAGCCACTGAGCTAAACGGCTGATTGCCACACCGACGAAAATCTTAACGCATTCTTCTACATTGTTTTCTTAGCATTTGAAGCAATGCGAAACGATACTCGATATATAATACGATATTCGAAATTGTTTGTATGCTGGAAAGGATATAACAATAGATGGCGCCAAGCATTGCTTCAAATGCTAAGAAAACAATGTAGAAGAATGCGTTAAGATTTTCATCGGTGTGGCAATCAGCCGTTTAGCTTAGTGGCTAGAGCGTCAGGCCGCGAATGCCGAAAACGTGGGTTCGATTCCCACAACGGCGACAATCTTTTCGCACTTTTTCTACATATTTTAATGTTGAATCTTAAGTGCAAAGATTAGCACTATAAACAATTTAAATTTCATCGTGTATACTTATTTGTTAGTCTTAAGGAATTTGTTTGATTA